TTTTTTTTTTTTTTTTTTTTTTTTTTTTTTTTTTAAATTTGTATTTATTTAGTCTTTTAATTTTAATTTTGTGTCTTATCAAATACATGATTAAAATTATAATTTAATACTGAAATCTTGTGTTTAATTTGGGTTAAGGTAGGTGATTATTAGTTGGCACATGTGTCAGACATTAATAGTCGCCACCGACGGCCGGATCCAGAGGTGGGATTGGGCGGTGATGGGTGACGTCATGGAGCCTACTTTGATTTTGTTATTTTGTTATTTGTTATTAGTTATTTTTGGGCGGCGCGTTGAGAAAATTGGAGGATTTTCGGGGAAAGGGGATCTGAGGAAGAGGCAGATGCATGCTACTGTGACCGTGAGTAGGATAAGTGTAGTGGCATGCCGCAAATATTGCCATGTTTGGGACATCACAGTGGAGGGTGGGGGCCATTAACGTTGACGTGTTATCTGTAGTTTAGTGGATGGGGTTGTCTGTTTCCTACATAGAAACAAATCCGGTACAGTGTTTGGGGAAGACTGCGTGGGAACCAAAGAAGAAGAGAAGAGCAAAGCTTCCATATAAGGGATCAAGTACTGGAGACTTTCTTAGAGGTTTTGGGCCATGAACTTTTTTCCTCTTCTACCTTCAAATGTCTCGTTCGAATATTTGCTACTACTATCAAGATCTACACCAATGGCCGCTCCACCCAAACTCACGCTAAGATTTTGTATCGACCACTAAGACCTAGCACTTATCCTAATGGCCGGATATAGGTCGTGCGCTTCGACACAGGCAGGTGAGCTGCCTCAGAAGTTTCGGGCATGGCCGGTAGTGCATGATTGGGCTTAATAATAATCAATTTAAATTAGTGCAGCAAAACCCAGAAAAGTAAAAGCAGGTTTTCTCTTTTTATATACAGTCAGACCCCACTAAAAGGTAGAGGATGATGTTATGATAGTGATGCCTCCCACTCTTCATCATTAAGGAATTCATTATTAACTTTCGTGTTTGTTTTTTGTTTATGTTCTCATTCTAAAAAAAAAAAAGAAAGAAAGAAAGCAAGATTGAAGAATCATCCAAGCATTAAGACACCGTACATATCTCAATGTCTTACTTAGGATGTGATAAACAACAGAATTAGAATAGAAATGGAAAATAATGGATTATTTTTATTCCTTCCCCTTCAAAAGTAAACATGGTATACACAAATAATACAATAAAACAGACAAAATGGAAGTTTGAACAAAGCTTTTGTACTAAGAGTGCAGAGGCAGCAATCAGATTGGTCCCTCAACTACACTACTCTGCATTTCAAAATAATGCCCAAATTCCGACACCAATTATCCCTTTTCTCATCATTATTCATCACCACCTTCTTCCCTGGTTCTTACACTAGCATTTCAACAGAGGCAGAGGACATAATCATGCGTCTAGTGACTTTAGTTCATGATCAAATTAGACTCAAACTTAATAGACTAAACTTAATAATTCAACCAAAAAAAAATATATATAAAGGCATTCCTCTAAGCTTTTAACTCCCTCTGATCTATAGGAGACATAATGGTCCGGATTCTTGCACCGAAACAGCCAATCCCTGCAGTTTCATGGAGTTTAAAGGTCTCTTTGTTAAAGGCAAGGAACATTATTTGATGTAGCTTATATAATATAGTGATAGCTTTTATAAAGAGGAGAGAAAAGGTGTTCAATAATTTTACATTGAATGATTACTTTAAAAAATAATTGTCACAGCTACTAATAACTTTTTTTAGGTTGAGGTATGAAATGCCTACTGAAATAGATTTTGAAGAGCAAGAGGAAGTGAAAATTGACCACCCATTAATTAGTTTCTCGAGTTATTTCATCTGGATGACTTCATGATCACTCAAAAGGGAGAAAGGATTTCAGATACAAAGGCCATTTGGAAGAACATAATAATAGTAATAATAATTTTGGATAACTTAGCTCATGAGCAAACAAAATAAATTGTTCTAAAACATATATAAATGCGTTTCTAAAATTGGATGAAAAACATCCATGACATTGAAGAAAAGATGGTACTCACAGAATTGATCCCTTTCGTTCATCTCAACATGAAGATATGACTACAGGGTTGTGAGAGTATCAAACTTTTGTTCCCTTGAACGAATAGCGTGGTTGAAGAATGCGTGGTGAGTGAAGACGTTGTTGCTAAAGTGGGTGAACAATTTCATCCACTCAGAACTCTGTTCTGCTTAAAGCTTATTCTAATTATAACACAGCAACAGATATGGATTAAGCAAATGGATTATATAAATCCAACTAGGAGCGTATAAAAATGAGGAAAAAATCAAGGTCATCGCTACACATCTTCAGCTACCTAAACAATTATTCTCTAAATAAATATAACAATATATTATTGCTCTCCTATGAGGTCAATCATTATAGAATTCCAATGTTTTCTAACCTCAGTTAGCTGAATCAGCTCTCCATGCTCCGTCGTGGTCTGTTGGCTGAGTCCACAGCCTATGTCATGCTTTGCCCACTTCTTGAATGAGTTGAGAGTGGCTTTTGCCAGGTGGAATGAAAATTAGATCTTCCCAGGCTCAGTTCTTCTCATTCAACTATAATTGATCAAGAAAACTAACTATAATTTCTATTTTCTAAAAGATGCTGCTACTTGAGATCAAGAAACCTTACCTCCATTTTCTTAAGAACATCTTCCAAACTACCGACCTGTTACATAAAAGTTTTGGTTGAGTGAAGGGAATAAACAATATAATCGTGGATTAACTTAACAAATATTTTTCACAAGAAAGAAACACGCAGTGATCGTCCACAATTTTCACTTGCAGGATAATAATTTCAGACATTCTGCTTATATTTAAAGCTTAAAACATTTTCATCTTCACTTCCACAGCTGCTTGAATACGAATTTCTTGTGCCAAAAAACCACTTTATGAAAACTGTAGACTACAGCGGAAAATTAACAAAATCAATCTTTCATTTAATACAGGAACGAACAGGTCGCTTCTAAAATGTAATAAGCAATATCGTATCAGATGCAAAGAAGAAGAGAAAATATAACACACACCATGTTTTACAGGGAGCACTGATCAAGGCACGAAATTCAACCCATTCAATGAATAAAACACACCAGAGAATAAAGATGGAAACGATACCATGATATGTTGAGAAGTTCCTAATCCCCTTGATGCCTTTGAGACCTTCGACAGTTCCTTCTCTATATCTTCCTATTTTCCAATTAAAGATAAGTACTAGAGGATGGTGAGATCATAAAACCACATTTTTAGAAGCACATTAGACGCATCAATGATCCACGAGTTCCTCAGAAATGATACGAACCTTAGTAAAGTATATAGGACAATAACGCTTGTTTTTCTTTTTCACAATCAGAAGGTCAGACTGTAAAACAGAAAATCGTTATTATGAGAAATGTTAACCCAATTATACATGACGTGAGATTCAATGCCAATCAAGATTGAGAGCTGTTTATGCCCTGAATTAGAAATTTGGAAAGTGTCCAATAATTCAATTATGGATCATTCTGGAGTTTTCACAATGAAGAATTTTGCCTTTGTGTTAAAACCATTTAATTGAGTGCACCAATGTACCTGAAAAACAGGAACTCCATCAAAACTGCTCCTGGAATCCGAGGCTTTGAGCTATAAATGAAAACATACAATGATGAGTCAATTTTAAACTGCATCAAAACTGCTCCTGGATTGGGCGGAACTTATGCATAATGAGGTGATAGTTCATCAGTGCCTTAGTACATGACGTGAACTTCATTGACCATTTATCATCTTCAGAGCTCTAACAGACACGGTCATACTTAAACCCTTCTAAGAAGATCAAAGTTGGTCGATGGTGCAATCCATTAAGGGAACCCACAAGTTAGCATCCTTGTACCGTACAAGGTTTACATAAACCCGTGCCATATTTAATCTGTCTAAGATCAAAGGCTATTGTTAATAAGATTATATTGAATGAAATAGCGTGACCAATTTGAACTGACAGCTGAGCAGCATTTAAGCTATCTCAAACGACAGCTCCCAAATCGTACGACACTGAAAAGCCGAATTCGATTCCAAAATTTTCGTCGCAGCGACCGAATCAGAAAGCCATACGAATCCCATTGGAGAAGACAACAAGATAACACCGCATCTTAATTCTAATCTGTTGGCGCACCGTCATGGCGGTTCTTGGAGCTCAAGCCGCCGCC